TACTGTTCTTTATATTTCTCTTACAATTTTGGATATTATGTTCCAAGTTCTATCAACATATTTATGTTATCAAGTGGAAAAAAAAACATATGAGGCATTATCATAACTTGTCAGATTTTTATTTTTAGATAGAAATTATTATTTTTTTATTGAAGTAAATTTAATCCCTCTACTGATGTTGGATTAAGATCATAAAAATCCCTTTGACTAAAATCAGATAGAGACTGATTTGTGGAGAAGGTCATCATTTTTTCACTGTCCTGAATGCCTGCTTTTAGCTTAACCTACTTTAGTCCTCATAAATTCTATGATCTCTCTTCCAGTTTGATTCTTAATCTAGTCGCCCACATTTTGCTAACTTGCATGTATTCTTTTATTTCTCTCATTCAAACACGTTCTTTGATACAATATTTGGGTTTTTTGTGTCCCTTATGGTAAGTAAAGCTTAGAGTTTTAATGTCAAGCTATTTCCTGTGTTTGAACTATGAATAGGTGCTTACTCACAGTTACCCAGCATTTACGTTTAAAATTAAGATCATTGGTGATATACACTATAAAACCTCTAAATTGGAATCCCATGTCATATCTAGGCACTGAAATAAGAGTTGCTTTATTTTCAAATGTGCTAAACATCTGCAGCACCTATTAAGTAAAGAGGTCTGACTGTAAGCCTTAATACAGGTTTGAAAATCTTGACCTAGGATAAATCAGGCTAGAAAAAGACGACTTGCTGGATTAGTAGGGGTCAGCCTTTTTGGCAACTGTGCCATGAGGTAAGCCCTCATACCCTCCCTGAGTGCCATTCTGATTTATTTTCTCTGCCAGATCTGTTGCTCTGCTTTCTGCTCCCTGACCAATCTGCTGCCCTGCTTTCTGCTACCTCCTCTATTGGCATGTGGCATGTGCAATGAGTTGGCCATTCCTGTAGTAGATCATCTTATTCACCCTATTGCAAGTGCAGCATATAGAATGTCTTTAGGTTATGATAGAGAAAAATATCCATGTTAAATTGATACTATAATGGCTTTTATCCAAAAGACCAAAAAAGAAGTGATTTGGCAATTTGATAGGTGCAGGTCACTGTCTGGAATGTAAGAATATTTTGTAAACATACTAGCTGTTCAGCCTTCTAAAGCATCCATTTATTGCTTACAAGAAGTGAGTGATAAAATAACACTCCTTTGCTTCCAAGGTTGTTGCTTATTTATGTATTTTCACTTTTGTGTCCTGTACCATGCTCAGCACCATGAGGCTAGGTGAATAATCCTGTATGTCAGAGTTAACACTTTTAGGAAGGGCTAAAACTAACAAAATGGATGGTTACTAACATTTTTAATACAGGAAGAGACCATATTATGCCTTTGATACTGTAGTGCTGGGTTGTCAAAGTATGGCTCGTGAGCCAGATCATGCCTGTGGTGATGCTTGCTATGATGCAGCATGCACTTGAATTAGCCCTGCATGCAGTGTGTAGAGCCCAGCTTGCATAGGCTGCACATAGTTAGGGTTACCATACATCTGGGTTTTTCCAGACATGTCTTCTTTTTTGGTCCCCTGCCCTAGTGTCTGGGTGGGTGTTTGAAATGCAAGCTGATGTCCAAGTTTTTGCTTTGCCTCTGATTTCCTAGGCTGGCTGCTTGGGGCTGGGAGCATCAGGCAAGGTGATTGGCTGTGGGTGGTCACATGGTCTGTGTGCAGGCCCTGGCAAACTCCTAGATAAGAGACACAGATTGTGTGTGTGCATGGGCACATGTGCGCACACATGTGTACTGCATGGATAGCAACGCTGTGGGTTGGGAGTGAGGGGCACCAGCAGGGCTGAAGGGGGACAGAGGGCTACAGGTCAGGAGTGCAGGGAACTGGCAGTGCTGGGGGGGGCAGGGGCTTGGGAGTGAGGGGCAGAGGCAGGGCACGGGTATATCACTGTCTCCCCCATCATATACCCTTCCCCCCTCTCCTCCTCACCCTCGTTCCCCTCCCTTCTGTCATCTGGAAATATGGTAACCCTACATGCAGTGCAGGACCGTTCTGAGGTACATGCTGCATGTGGCACTTGTGCTGGATCAGACCTGCACACCGGATCTGGGGCTGGTCCAGACTGGCCCACATACTGGCCCCATGTGCTGGATCCAGTGTGCAGGGCCAGTATAGCCAGGTGCCACACATGTACCACAAGCCCTATGTGCCATATACCATGTGTCAGGACGGGCACATGCAGCATGCTGCACTTATAGCTGGAGTTGGCATACACGCTGCAGGTGTGGGCTAGATCCAGCATGTGGGGCTCGTTTGTGAGTCTGACCAGTCCCCGTGGTCCAAATGATTTTGACACTCCTGCTGTAGTGTATTTGTTTGAACTAAAACCCTATGCAAAGGATTTTGGTCTTTCACTTGCTTGTGTATGAGGTTTTTAACTCATTAAGCAATTTAAAACAATCCATGATACAGTAAAGTTTCAGTTCTGCAGCATATAGAGTAAATGTTTTTTAGGATTAAAGTCATTATGTGAAAATTACTACTACAGTTTGGTTTTCTGTAGTATATATTCCTGCCTTCATTTAAATGTGGATATGACCAATGGATGAAAAATTTCCTTACTTTCTATAATCACTGAGAGACTTTTCTAGGGCCAAATACTGAGTTTAGGCTAAGTGGAGTCTTAATATAAGTGATCTATTTCTAATGGGCATGCATCTCTGATCCTACAGATAACAAATTGTGACAGTTAAAGTATGCATAGGCTTAGACCTGAAAGCAGATCATTGTGCTGCCATATAGTTGGATGGTTTATGGCAGAGTTAGTGGATGGGATTTTCAAAAGTGATTAGTATTGGTTTAACTCTGATCTCATTATAGCCAATGATAAAATGTCAATTGACTTTAATGGAAGCAGAGTTAGATCAGTGCTAAATGCTTTAGAATATCTGTTCAGTAGGACTGGGGAGGTCTCTTCCATCTGGAAAGTAGAGATTTGGTCAGATGTTTCTGAAGATACATTGTAAGAACTTCCCAAATGTAAAGTTCACTTTTGCTTCCACAAAAATGCTCTCTTGGCACCCCATTCAGTTACAAAATAAATCAATAGATTTATGTCAATATTTAGAAACACAAAGGAACAAAATATTAAAAGTCTTAGCATATTAAGAGATGCTAGAGAATCTGAGAAAATCAGCTTATCTAGAGAGGACTGACTCTAAGCCTAACGTATATTAACAGTTAACTTTTTTCTTTCATTTAGCATGAAAATCTCTATATTGAGTCATATCAAAGTAAAAGCTTATTCCGCTAAAATGTTTTACATTTGTCTGAGACAAAGTGGAGAGCTTATATTTAGGCATATACATTTTCTTTAGAATTCAGCCCCTCTGCCTATACTTATTTATGTGATTCCTAGGTGTTACAATGAGGAGGAAGAAAACTAACTGGGGTAAACTTCTATAAACCAGCAGAAACCAATGGAAAAACTGGAAAATATGAATTGAATTAGTCCAGTATTTCAAGTTTATGCCTCAAATACATGTTGTTGCAAATATGCAAGTGTATTATGGTGTTTTAAAATACAGCAATGCAAAACATACTTAATCATTGTATCTGAAGACCAAAGGTATTTAAATCACTACAGAACTTTTTTAAATGTCTTCAGATACAGAAAGCTGACATTGTGACAGAGTCAACAGAAAGTCTATGATCATACAATGAAGACTGTGAAGGTTGTCAAGTAATCTTTGATGTTTGATTTGTTTTTCATTTTGTTTTGTTAATATCAGCACTCTTTGCAAATGTGAATATATTCAAATTTATGACAAGATTCTTTGGGTAATTCTGATATTTTTTACTAGACCAGCTAAAATAGTTGGAAAAATCCTTTGCAAGCTTTTGGGTGCAAATACCATTTGTCAGGCTGAGGAAGTGTCTGCAGTTGGTCTGTGCACTTCCTGGATGGAATAGAAAAGAAGCCAGAGGCCAGTATGCATGTGAGAGTGCCAGTCTGTAACTTTACTTCCCATTGACTTTAATGGAAGCAGAGTTAGATCAGTGCTAAGTGCTTTAGAGTATCTGTTCAATAGGATGGGGGAGGTCTCTTCCATCTGGAAAGTAGAGGTTTGGTAAGATGCTTCTGAAGATACATTGTAAGAACTTCCCAAATGTAAAGTTCACCTTTGCCTCCAGTTTAAAATGTGATTCCTAGGTGTTGCAATTAGTGAGCATTGGGTGGGTAATAGGTGCTCAGTTTTTTCTGTGGTCGAACCCACTGCTACAGTGGAACAGACAAACTCTGTGCTGCTAAGAAGAGTGTAAATATTTTTCTGGATGTGAAACCGATTGGAACCTCTTTTTAAAGTGTAGATCACTACTCTCAAATCATCTCCTTTATGGGGATCTGATGGTTTAAAGGATTGGTAATGGAATATGGGGTTTCTCCCGTGTAGGTTATTGGTTCAGCTATGACCCTGGTCATTAGCTGAAAGTCTTGTTTGGTGAATTCAGGCCAGTGTTACACAGATGGTCACATTATGAAAGACAGACTAAGCTAACCTTTTCTTTGACATGACTGATGAGGGAGGCCAAGGAATGAGTCTGTACAGAGATAAATGACCTGGTTTCAGAGCCAGTTCATTTCATAATATAATTGAGATGCTGGCATCTTTTACAAGCTAATGTCAGGGTAATGTTAAGGCTAACCACTGCAGTCTGTGCTGTATCTGGCATTCAGTTTCCTAGCTGTTGATCTGATCCTGCTTCTGTGAACTAAATTCATTGGAAGCAATTGGATGTTAAAAAAAAAAAAAAAAGTAATGAATATATTAACTTGTAAGGAACATATCTTAAATTTTAAAGCAGCCCTTTTCATAAACCTTTATACTTTATACGTTTTACATCAAGCTACAATCTCAGGGTTTGGATAACATATTCAGAACATCAGGCTTGGAGCGTAAGAGGTACTCGAAGTGAGGCTGCAGCTGCAATGTTAAATTTAGAATTGCTCACTCTTGTTGCAGGTGATGGAATTTTACTGCCAGTCTTGTGAAACAGCCATGTGCCGGGAATGTACAGAAGGAGAACATGCAGAGCATCCCACTGTACCACTCAAGGATGTGGTAGAACAACACAAGGCTTCTCTACAGGTCCAGCTGGATGCTGTCAACAAAAGGTACACAGATTATACTGGTTGTGCCCTAACATACTGCTGTGTGGAAAGTGATTGGTCAAGTTGTCAGTGAAACCACCTTCCAAATCAGTTTAGCTTGTTCACACTTTTCCTCCTGGAAAGATGCTAGTGTCTCTAGCATGGTGAGAAGGCAAGATAGAGATGCACTTTTATAGACTAAATGAGAGAGAGAAACAGCACAAGCTTTTGTGAACCCAAGTTTGCTTCATCAGCTGCTGTGAAAGGATGTGCAGAAAGCAGCGTATAAGGAGGAGAGAAAAATGAGTACACAAAAGACCAAGGGAAATGAGGAGGAGAGGGAGAGGGAGGAGGGGGGCAGTGCTAGGAGAGAAAAACAAATGAGTATTAAACCTGTAGGAACAAAAGGGGTCTCAAAAGCTAATCCAGGTAATGAGATAAGAATACATAGTCCCTGTTTAAACCATACATAGCACAATCAATCCAGTCTGTTGTGCCCATACAAGACATTGGTAAGGATTGTAGTATTAGTTGCTGCATAGTTAGCAAATTGTAGTTTGCAGTGTTCCCAGCATGGTAGTGCTGGTTTTGATGATCATTTCTTAATAAATTGCTTTCTTTCACAATTTATGATTGAATTGGGTCCTCAGGAAAGGGAGATACAATATGCACTGAATTTGTAGACACCTGCTTGTACAAGCTTCTTTACCCAGTTCTGAACATGACCCCATTACCCCAATCCTGGACCCCTTGAGGAGAGCTAGACAGTGACAATCATGCTGAGCTATGTAATGCATTTTTGCTTTATTTGAGCAACATAGATTTCTTCCTCACCTAGTCCTAGTTGTATAGGAGGAAGGTGAGTAGATATGAAGCTCATGGGTTAAAGCACTGAGACTGAGGACATCTGGGTTCCGTTTTTAGTTTAACAGACTTCCTGTGTTACTCTGAGCAGGTCATTTAATCTACTTCTGGCCTGAATTCTTCATCAGCACAAGTGGGTTAATGATTTCCTACCTCATTGAGGTGATATGAGGTTAAAATCCATAAATGTGTGACACATTCAGATCCCAATCATACTACAGAGAGAAGGGCCTACCTTTTATCTGTAAGATAGTGGCCAGGTTTTGCATATGTATATCCCTGATGGCTATATCCCTTCTAAGGAAGGAGATCAAAATGCTGGAGAGAAAAATATTAGGTGTGAGCATTTAGATACCACATGTACAAATGGTATTCGAGCTTCAAATATATATATATATATAAAAATAATAAAAATGTGGCACAATTCCAATTCCCTAACAGAAACATGAGTTAAGGACAGGAAGTCAATGTCCTACCTCATTTGGAAATAAGGAGAGAGTTCTAAAGTCTTTGCTTAAGGAGGCCTTTGACCTAGAACCTCATTCTTGCCTTATCAAGGTTTAATCTCAACAAAAATTATACTATAACAAAATGGGTAGAATAAAAGGCTGAAAAACACAGTCTTTTAAAAGCTGTATGGTGATGGCTTTCTTTCACCATAGGATTTTAACACCAAAGTAATGCCTTGTGAGACACCAATTTTTATAATGTATTTCTTCCACAGGCTTCCAGAGATAGATTCTGCACTTCAGTTCATATCTGAAATCATACATCAGTTAACCAATCAAAAGGCTAGCATCGTAGAGGACATTCATTCTACTTTTGATGAATTACAGAAGACATTAAATGTGCGAAAAAGCGTGCTGCTTATGGAACTGGAAGTGAATTATGGCCTTAAACACAAAGTAAGATGCATATTCTTTTCAGCTGACATCTGCCAATTTAAGTCATTTTTTAAAAATGGGTGCATGATTCCAGTAGATTGAATTGTATTACAGGGCCAGATCCATTAAAGGACTTGAGCATCTAAAGAAAGGTGCTGCAGCACCTAACTTGTGGGTTCCTGGTTCCCCAGAGTGGAATACAGAGCCCTGTGTGTTAGGTAACCTGCTCCCTCCAAAGTATGGAAGGCACCTCAGAATAGGTCCCAAAACATCCAACACCAAGTGGGGAGCTGTTTAAAATCACCAGGCTTAGCAGGAAATTAGCCAACAGGGAAGCCTTGAGAGCAAAGATTACTCTTAAATCCTGTTCCTCAGACACCTTACTTGGGGCTTGTAAACCAGAACCTTCTCCTGAAGGCCTGTGCCATTGCTTTCATAGAAGTGAGCAGGGCTCAATCTTTCTTTTACAATATGTCTGCTTTAAAAAGTAGTGGCTATGAATTTTATATTAAAAAGTGGTTGGATGAAATACATCCACAGTCCTTGGAGCAGAAACAAGAACCAAAATCTCTTTTACTTGGTGAAGGCCCTAAATGCTAAAAGATAACCCTGTTTACAATTCCACTCTCTCTGTGACCCCATGGATCTTGAATTATTTTCTTTCCAATGACCCAGGT